GAGGCAGCTGATCGATGTTTCTCTCTCATCGATGTTTCTAACTTTCTATCCCTCTCCCTTCCTCTCTGTAAAAAATCAATAAAATATAATTAAAAAAAAAATAAAAATAAATGCTCTATTTTCAGTATAAAATAATCTCCTGAACTCAAGAATACTTCTGTGTGCTTTTCCTTATATATACAGTTTTAATAAAGTGATGACTATAAATTCTTAAGGAATTGATAAAGGTTTAGAACGGGCCAGTTCTTTCAGTGAGTTTTTGTCATATTGCACACTGACCACATCCCTTCTCGTTCTGGAGGTCGAGCTGTTTGTTTCAGCCACACCCAATGCTTACGTTGAATCTATTGGTACAGAGACCTCTGCAGGCTGCTGTGGTGACATGAGAAATGAGAGAGGCCTTGTGGTCTGTAGGTGGTTACATTCTGCAGCTTCTTTGGTAAGCAGTGGAGTGGTAGAGAATTGTATAAGCAATTCTTTTTTTCTAGTCTTGTGTTGTACAGCTACCACATTGACCAACTTTTGCCAGGGGAGCAGGCCCGGCCCTGTGGGACTCTGTAAGGTCATCAGAATTGGATGTAGAATGCATAATTGAATTAAAGAGCCACTTTAGATTTGCAGATAAAAGAAAGTAGTGAGTCCCCAGGTGTTTTTGTACTTCGCACCCTGTTGATGTATTTAGAAATAGAGGGATTTATTTGCAGGTATAATTTCCTCAGGGGTAGCCTGCAAATACTTTTATTTAGCCACTACTCTTTTTACAGACTTTGAGTTATGAGGTGACCTCCATCTCAGCAAGATAAATCCTCATACCCAGAGTCCAGCCAGCTTCATCTATGGCTGTGTAGCTGAAGTGGATATTGAAATTTGTTTTCTTGAGAAGACAGGAAAGCCCCACCTCACACACTTAGGTTGCTGTAAGCAAGTTATAAAACTGCCAGACATCTATTAAACTGGAGGTGTTGCTCAACTTTATTGAGCAGGAGTCAGGTTCTGATGGTCTACAGGGCTGTTTTGGACCCTTGTGTGCACACATCTCCAAGATCATAGGCTTGCCACCAATAACTGATAAGCTGTGTGTGTGCTCTTAGACACGGACATAGAGACAGAGACAAGCTGTATCACTCACAAGGTACTCACTGAAGCCCCATGAAGTAACCCCGCTGGCAAGGGGCCACATTTTCTGAAGATGATGTTTCAGTGTTTTAGATGACTGATCACCTCTACTACTCTGCTGTGCTCCATTTATGGTGACAAAGAAGATCAAAGCAGTGAAATGTGAATTTTTTGCTTCGTGTAAATTTAAGTATGGCCACGAAGGCTTGTTTCCTCTATCTTGGAAAAGCAAATTGAGCTTGCAGAAAATAATTAAATCCGCAGTATCTTGCAATAATTAGACATTTGAAATGGGGGGGGGGGAGTTAATTATTTCAATCTGATTTCAGTTGCCCAATAAAATGTTCAAGGATAGCATCCAGACAGTTACCGAATTAATTTACAATCCCAGCTCGTTCAATTTTTGTACCCTTTTTCCCTGCAGGATCATGCAGATTTGCGAAGCCATTTCTTCACAGTTGGGATGAAGCTAGAAACAGTGAATATGAGTGAGCCCTTTCATATCTGTCCTGCATCAGTGACCAAGGTGAGTTTCCCTCCCCTTGCTCTGCATCTCAACCTCCAAAGTGGATCAAATAAGTCTTTCTACTCAAAGACAACCAGATGAAATGTGTTTGCATAAGGATATGCTACAGTTCCAAGGGAACCTAAGTCGGATTGCCTTCTTTCCCATCCAGTGCTATTTGAAGCTCTCTTTATCACTGGTAGCATAAAGCGAGTCTGATCAGATGTCCCCTCATGTAATGGTTGGGGTGAGTTTCACTTGTCTTCTGATAGTACAGTATGTGGACAGTGGCGCCCGTGAGTGACTTGGAGGAAGGTTAAAGATGCATGGCTGTGAACTTGCTCCTCTTGAACTGATAGTATTTAATATGATTGATCTGATTATATTTGGAAAATAACTGCAAATGGTGAAAAGCAAATTTCCATTGCACTTCTACTTCCTTGTAATCATCTGCTTTCATTGATAAAGGCAAAGTCATGCTTCTGAGATGTGCAAATTTAAAATGAAATTGCTTTTTCATGTAAAAGCATTTTAATTATGGTTTAATAGGCTTTTAAGATTATAGTTTCCCTTCTCCATCAAAGACATCTCAATGAAGTCAGCTATGGTAACATCTAAAGTATGTGTTTCTACCTTAAGTATCTCTTATAAATGATTGAAGAAACCAACAAACTTAGAACTCTTTTTTTTAAGCTTTTTTTAAAAATTGGTTTCAGAGAGAGGAAGGGAGAGAGAGAGAGAGAAAGATAGAAACATCAATGATGAGAGAGAATCATCAGTTGGCTGCCTCCTGCATATTCCCTACAGGGGATCCAGTCTGCAATCCGGGCATGTGCCCTGACCAGGAATCAAACTGTGACCTCCTGGTTTATGGGTCAACATTCAACCAGTGAGGCACACCTTTCATGCATTTTCTAGGGAGGGTAATTAATGGTTCAAAAGTCAATTTTATGGATTCAAACCCAAGTCTCATGATGCCCACTAACGTAATATTTAATGTTTTAATTCCTTGGGGGCATAATGTTTTAGTCTAAACAAATGGCTTTGCAGTTAAATCCCAACCAGCTTTACTAATTACTAGCTAAATAAATTACTTATATTTTAAAAACCTTAGTTTTTATATCTATACCATAGATATTATACCGTCCACTTTATGTCATTGAGAAAAGTGAGGAATCATGCATGAAGTGCCTGGCACAGTACTTGGCACATGTGAATGCTCAGTAAAATATTAGCTATGTTCACCCAAACCTTTGGTCCCATTTATGGGTACCATGTTATCGCAGTTATCGCCCAAGAAAAAAGCATGCCACAGGCATCCGGGCATCCAACTGCTGATCAGACTGTATTTGGTTCCTGTGGAGAAATGGTCTATCTTACCCTTGTTATCTTACCCTTGTTAGCTGGAGAAATATAAGCCTGATTGTTTTAGAACTGAATTTTAAGTTTGTTTATTACAAAGTGCTGTGGTGGTTAATGCAAGATACACATTACCAGTTTCGGCAAGGGCCAACCCTACAACTGGAGTCAGAAGCCCAGGGAATCTTCAGCACACTTTATTTTCAACATACCCACGGAAGAGAAATTGAAGCCTTTCATGTCCCCTTTAAAGCCATGCATATTGCTGAGTTTTCCATGGGCTCGCTGTGCATACATAACTTTTGAAATGAAAATACTACTGTGTGAAGAGGATGATCAAGGTAGACCACAGCTGATTGTCACCGCAGTGGGTTGGGATGTCAGTCATTCTTAAGCTAACATGAACTCTTTCATGATCCAACAGAACGCCTCTAATTTTACATTTACTGTCATCTTTCATTTGCTCTCCTTTTTTGGAAACATTACCAACTGCTGATCAGACTGTGCCTGTGGAGAAATGGTCTATCTTGAAATTTGTGATCCAAGAGGAAGAGAGAAGAAATTTGTATTTTGATTTCAAAGTATTTGAAAAACTTGATCGTTTATCTACTATGGGCCTTTGTATTTTTTATTGTAGGCAGTGCAAAGACGGATTTCTTTGTGTGCATTTTTTCCCCCTGAGAGTCTTGATCCCTGCAGTATTTTTCCAAATAAATAGTTTCATAATTAATATGAAGAAATCAATTGGGTCTATTTATTCTTTCTCTCCTTAGTACAAGAAAATATTTGACTTTGGAAATAAAAACAAAGAAGTTTCTTTGATGTTACTTCACGTTGGCAGAATGTCCCAATTGTATTTGGGGTACAATCAGATGTGTCCTCAATAGCTCCTGTAACTGCCACATGCCTGAGGACCCATAAGCAAGTTGGAGCAGGACTTTACAACCAGAGAACAAACATTTGAAATGTATGACACCCAGATGCATAGTCCTAGGATACGATCCTTTTGGTGTCACAGATTGATTTCTGAATTTTATAAAGTTGAAGACACTAAAAAATGGTTAATTCCATTTTAATTTCTTTTTTCTGAAAGAGACTGGACCTCTTAATGCAGTGACAAGTGTTTTAATGTTACTTGAGTCGTGCTTTTTTAAATGTATGATTTGGTAAAATTCGAGAAATAGAGTGGTGACAGTGTATTACAGAATGTGGAAAATTGTTATGATAATGAAATGTCTTTTTCCCCCCCTTGAAATATTTTCCTTTAATGACTATAAATTATTTTTTATAACTGTTAAAGTAATTTATTTAAAGAATAACTACATATGAGAAAAATATTGACTTACACTTTGAGTGATAATCTCTAGATTGAAATGCATGCTATCATGTTTATACACCATCCATTAAAAACCATGTTATTTGAAATGACCTTCAGGGTTCTTTACTGTGTATTCTGGTTGTTGCACATTTGTAGAAAACTAAAGAGTGATATCTTGTTGAAACCCGACCAGAATTTCCCTTTGTTTGAGCAGCGGGTGATTTAGTGATGCCAGCTGCTCATTTATCTGGATATATATCGCCTTGTCCTCATTCTAAGAGGCTGTGGTATCAGCTTCACTTGGACATTTTTTTTAAGCCAAACAGAGATGCAAATGTCCTTAGCCTGCCAGGGTAGACATTCACATTTTTATGCCTTTATATAGATGTACATGTGACGTTGGGATGTGACATACTAATTATAATTAGGTCCAGCCTGAATATCTGTATTTTGTTGCGTGGACTTCCAGTGGCAGTAGTTTGGTTTCCACAGTAAAACAGTTTACTCCCTAAACAAATCTTATTGGAGTTTGGGAGTGGGAGGGTATTTTCTCTGATTTTTTAAGATACATTTTCATTTTTATATTTCCTACTTTTTGTACCAAAGATAAAATACTTAAGTCATTCATTCTTATAGACCCCTCCTTCCTTATTGGCCATGTGTTGTGTAATGCATGGACTTGGAGGAGCACCTCCCCAGGTTCAAGATTCATGTACATGTAACAAAGTATCATAATAATCTCCACGCAGAAGGTATTTATAAATAAATACGTTTCTATTAACACTGGATAATGTTTTAGAATATTAAGTTTGAGAATATAAAGTATTGTGCCATTAGTAGTCATCATAATGAAATTTTCCTTTTTATTTCCTTGGGGCTTTTCTTGATGGCACAACTGTTGAAGAAATAAGTAATGTTAAAGCAAATAGATGGATAAGCATGTAGCAGATGCAGTATTAAATGCCCAACCTTTAGCAGTACAGTGGGATTCTGTTTTTGGTGTTCCAAAACAGTGAGTTAGTGACAGATGATGGTGGTGATGATGATATCATCTATAATGTAAAATATATTGCACTGTTCAGAGCTAAAGATACTGGAATTAAAGTCTTGGGCTCTGTTTCTGTTTGCTAGCTCCTAGCTGCACAGTCTTGGGCAAGTTGGTTAACTGCTCCAGGCTTTAGTTCGAGACCTGTGTGTTGACCAGAAGGCCCCGTGTTTCTGAACCATTTAGCTTCTCTCTAAGTAATAAGTAAGCAAATGTAGTATGTTAAAGGCTACATGAAAAGGAGGAAGATGCGTCAGGGAAGGAACTAATGGAGTGTTGGTGGAGGAAGGGAAGATGTGATTGTAAGTAGGGTTGTCAGGGAAGACCCTCCTGGGAAGGTGATGTTTGATCTTTTGCAAAACTCAGGCAGCAGAATTCTAACTATTTACTGGAATTAACATCAAGAAGAACTGAAGTGAATTTCCTCTCCTGCTTATCTTTGAACTAGGTTGCATCCAAAAAATATTTTTTAAATGAAGGAGCCAGGAATCATAGCTTAGGGAGAGTGTCAAGGTTTCCCAAGAAAGACTGGCTGCTTTTCTGTTGAGTTGGGAAAGTGCTGTTTTTCCCTCTGGTCTGTTTTACATACTTGGTTCTCTAGATCCACCATGCTCTTGACTGTGGGGGTTCACCTGCTTTTTGCACCCTTCTTTTTTCATCATCATGCTTTGTTTCTATTTTTCATGGACTTCTTTTCCCCCTTATATCCAGTGGATGATTAGCCAGTTTCTGTGCACAAAGCGTTTTCTCTGCATGGTGGGAATACCTCCATGAGGAACGAAGAGGCCACAGTCCTCAAAGCATTAGGATCTGCTAAGGTAGACAGATGTGATATCAGTCCTCAGGGGGGTAAAAGAGGTTGTTCAGTATAGAGATACAAGCCTGATGATTTGGGGGCATAGAGCAGGGGCCCTTTATTCCAACTGAGTGTTTGGGAAAATGTCCCAGCTGTGTTGACTTTCAGGTTGGACCTTTGAAAATGTACTGTGATTTGATAGACCGACAAGGGAGTGCGCTGTTAGACTGCGAGAACACTAAAGACAGGCGTGGTGTGAATGATTTCCTCTTGGGCTAGAACAGCGGTTCTCAACCTGTGGGTCGCGACCCCTTTGGGGGTCGAACGACCCTTTCACAGGGGTCACCTAAGACCATCGGAAAAGACATATATAATTACATATTGTTTTTGTGATTAATCACTATGCTTTAATTATGTTCAATTTGTAACAATGAAATTGGAGGTCACCACAACATGAGGAACTGTATTAAAGGGTCGCGACATTAGGAAGGTTGAGAACCACTGGGCTAGAGGGTGGGGCATTTGGGCGGATACTAGATGAGTGATACATGAGACTTAGATGAGACTAGAAATCTTCAGGCCAGACCTTGGAGTGTTCTTGAATGACCTGGTGTAAGAACATGTGTCCCTGCTGTGGACATGGAGAAACCAATTAGACCTTTCAGTGCCCGCCTGGCTTTCCCCTTGGCCAGGGTTTGTCTGTCTTACTTCAGCAGTTTGTTTATCTTTCAGCTATGACTATTGGTTTACGTCTTATTCTCTGTCTCGCTTACTTTTCATTAATATGACCACAGTGATCAACTCTAACTTTTTAGCAACTGGATCAATTTAGTAATATACGTTGACATGCCAGTTTGTGGTCAAACCATTTTGATGAAATACATTGATTGCATTTGGAAGCTGTGCCAATATTTCATTACTAGTCTTATATGTAATCCCAAGGAACTAACCATTGGCTGTATTGGTTTTCTCTTTCAGGTTTTTAACAATCATTTTTTTCAAGTGACTATTGACGACCTAAGACCAGAACCTAGTAAACTCTCAATGCTGTGCCATGCAGATTCTTTGGGGATTTTACCAGTACAGTGGTGCCTTAAAAATGGAGTCAATCTCACACCTCCCAAAGGTTTGTGTTTTGTGAAAATATGCAGGGTTTGAGTGATTCAGGAGGGTGTCATTGTTTATTTAGAGAAATTTATGTTGTAAACAATTTAGAAGTAGTAGAAAAAGAATGTCTTTCATGTTTAGCTTGACATAGGGATCTGTACAGATTGCTTCCCTGGTGGGAAGTGTAACCTTAGGCTTCTCAATCCACTTCTGTAAAGCGAAGTTCCGGGTTAGCGATTGAATGATCGGTGGTTCTGCTGCTCTTGTGTAATGATAGAGGGTAAGTGTTGCTAAGTGATTGAGGTTAAAAACTGCAGAGTGTCTATGAAGTGGCTTTGAAAAGACAATAAATGCTATTGAAGCATTTTTTTTTACATTTTATTTAAAATAAGTCAGATTTTCCCCAGAGCCCAGTTGTTCCCAGATATCCAACAATTTGATGCTATAATATTTATCCTATATAATAAAAGGCTAATATGCAAATAGACCAAATGGTGGAACAACCGGAAAAACTGAACAACCAGTTGCTATGACGTGCTCTGACCACCAGGGGGGTGTGTGCAGAACATGGCGGGCATTGGCCATGGTGGGATGGTGGAGCAGGTGAGCGGGGGCGCCAGACCAAGGTGGGGCACCGGTCACTGTCATTGGGGTGAGCCTCTGGTGGTTACTGAAAATTCTTTGCTCCCGCACACCGCAGTCCCGCCTTGCAGTTGCACCTGGTCCTGATCACTCAGCACCATCAGTGGGTGTGAGTGGCAGCTTCCAGTCCTGATCTCCCCTGAGGGTTCTTTACCTCCTCCTGCTCCTGAGGGGCAACCGAGGCAGCAGCTGCCACTTGCACCCGCTGCTGGCACTGGCCTCAATCGCTCCATGCTGTCAGTGGGTGCGAGTGGGGCTGGTGCCGTCAGTGTGTGGGAGCGGCTGCGCCAGGAGCGGGACTGCCAGCAGACAGGGGGCCGAGGGCCACAGCGGGAGGGACCAGGTGGGGGTGGGGAGGATGAGCCGAGACTCACCCCTGTGCCTACCGCAGCCTCGCAGCCCACAGTTCCTTTCAAGGTGCATAAATTCATGCACTGGGCCCCTAGTATAGATATAAAAACCTAAGGGACCATTCAACCAGTAGCTATATGCACACTGACCACCAGGCATGGAAACATAGAACAGATTGATGAATCTCAGAGGGAAGGGGGAGGGGAGAGGGCGGAAAGAGATTAACCAGAGATCTTATATGCATACTAGAGGCCCGGTGCACAGATTCATGCACCGGTGGGGTCCCTTGGCCTGGCCTGTGAGGATCAGGCTAAATCCATGCACTGGACCTCCGACATTGAGGGGTCTCAGATTGTGAGAGGGTGCAGGCCAGGCTGAGGAACTGCACTGGGCCTCTAGTATTAAAATAATTAAATTGGGAACTGGGTTGCACTAAAATAATGTTTACATTGGGATTCATGCACCACGCTGTAAGTTTAGTAATGTGATGTGTTATCCCTTATAGGTCTAAGGTTTATTCAAGGATCAAAGCAGTAAGGCAAAATGAGAGAAGATAGGGAGGAAATAAATGGAATAATAGAAGAGAAAATCAGAAGAGATTAGAAAAGTAAATTTATGGAGGGATTATAATGAATGCTAACCTTTCCAGCTCACCAGGCACTGGTTTATATGCAGTGTTAACCATATTGGCCACAGGTTGAGTTACAGTTTTCCTGGGGCCATCATATACCTCGTACCACCTTTAATTGTGTACGCCTAGCTCATCCATGGCGTGCCTGTACTCCACTGGCATGAATATACTTTGATATTTTTAAGTTTTTGTCCTCATTGTTCATCCCTGCTCATTCCCAAGGAGGACTTGCTTTTGAGTATTTCCATTTCAGCTGTTGATTCTTCATATTTAGGTTCTGCAATAATGGAATGTGGTCTAATTAGAGAGTACCATGAACTTCTGTGTAACACTGTTTATACTATTTTAAGTGCTTAACTTATTGAATCCTCAAAATGAGAATTGTCCTATGAGGAAAATTAGTCACACATAGACAGTCACAGGGCAGGAGGTCTGGCTCCGGATCCCGCTCCCTGTAGCGGGGAGAACTCCAGTTCACAAGAGCCAGGTTCTTGCTTGCATTTGGGTACTCACCAAAGACTGGCCACATCCCTGTGCCTTAGCTTTCAGGCTGTCAAAGAGGAACACGCCTGGTATTCCACAGGCACTGCACAGAATCAAAGAAATGACAAAAGTCTAAGTATTTTTATAGTCCTTTAAATGGCTGTCCAGGTTTTTATAGGATAGAATCTGTGTTGGTGGTAGATAAGACAAGGCCTTTCCTGCTGTGAAATGTTAGCATTAGGTCACTTGTGGAGTTCGAAAGCCCCTTGGGTCACTGTTGTTTCCTTCTAACCGCTCTAATCACACCATGTGTGCGGATGGGTTTCATGTCTTTTTCTAGATATCTAAAATGCTTCTTAGTTGGACTTTGCAAATGTCTAGTTAGTAATAAGATCTATTTAAGAATTTTAAAAACATTCATTGGGTATTTCCTTACATAATGAAAAAAAGGGAAGTATTAATACATGCATTTTGGCTGCTTGATTATTTCATGATGGCAGAGGTTTAATGTTTACCAGAATTTTTAAATATACTTCTTATGAATTGTAACTCTTAAAAAGTGTTGTTTAGAAAAGCGATTGTAGCCATATTTACTAGGAAAATGTATGTGCTTATTTGGATGATTGCATTTCACGATATTAAGAAAGTTGTTTTAGATTAGTGTACTGAACTAATGTGTAATGAAATGGCTATACAAATGTATTTCCAAGAATAAAACTGCTGAGTCAAAGGGTAAAATGCATTTATAATTTTAGTAAAATTTGACAAAATGCCTTGGATACAGTTTGCACCTACCTGCACTATCACCAGAATATTAAGTATTTTCATATGTTAAGCTTTTTTATACCTAACATTTAGCTACATTTATTATTTCTTCTCTGTCACCCAAGTATTTGTGATATATGGTGAAATGAAACTGTCTTCATGTAGTTTTCCAAATTATTTCTTCCCCTATTGAAAATGAAGGATGCCTTTTGAAAAATCACACACACAAAAGAAAGATGCTTCATGAATATTGTTGTGGAATATTGAGTATTGTGGTTAGTATTTTCCAATAAGAAACTATCAGTGATAAGCCTTTAAAAAAAAGAAAAAAAGAAAAGAAAAACCACGTAAAGCATTTAAGAAGTGATCAATATCATTAGTCAAGGATCCACTGGTAATTTACAGGGGTTGTGTTTTGGCTACAGGACTATTACCTTGAAATAGTAGAGATTTTACTGATAAGCCAGTAAGAAAAAGACCAGCAACTTACAGAAAAGGGTTTCAGAATATCAACAGATAGTTCACAGTTAAAAGAAACACAAGGTCTCTTATTCAAACACATCACAATAAGAGAAATGCGAGTGGAAATCATATTGAGATGGCATGCATTTATAAGATGAAGTGGAAAATCAAAAGAGAAAGAAGATAAAATTTGTTTTGATGAGCATGTGGAGGAACAAGAATGCCCAGATTACTGGTGATAGTGCAGGTAGGTGCAAACTGTGTCCAAGGCATTTTGTCAAATTTTACTAAAATTATAAATGCATTTTGCCCTTTCACTCAGAAGTTTTGTTCTTGGAAATCTCTCTTGAAGATATACTGTGCAGATGATATACATAAAAGTTTGTTCTTTGCAGCATGATATGTAATAGCAAACACTGGAAAAAGTCCAAGGGCTTGTCTGTATGGGTTAAATAGATTTTAGATATCCATATAATGAAAACTATGCAGTTGTTAAAAAGAATGAGGAAATCTCTGTGTACTGATATGAGAAGTGCTCCAAGATATGCTGCAAGTGATAAAGATCTGTAGATTATGGCATGACACTTTTTTTTTGTTAGAAAAGAGGTAAATGAGAATATGTATTTGTTTGCTCATATTTCTGTAAAGAAACTGTCAGGTTACATAAGAAACTAGCAATGACAATTTTACTTCCTCCTTTCCAATTTGGATGCCTTTTATTTTCTTCTTGTCTGATCACTGTGGCTAGGACTTCTAGTATTATGTTGAATAAGAATGGTGAAAGCTGACATCCTGTCTTGTTCCTCTTCTTAGGGAAATTATTTTAGTTTTTGCCCATTGATTATGATGTTGGCTGTAGGTTTGTCATATACGGCCTTTATTATGTTGAGGCATGATCCCTCTCTTCCTACTTTGCTGAGAGTTTTTATTAAACCTGGGTGTTGGATTTTATGAAATGCTTTTTCTATGTCTATTGATATGATGTGATTTTTGTCTTTCAATTTGTTTTTGTGATGTATCACATTTATTGATTTGTGAATATTGTACCAGCCTTGCATCCCCGGAATAAATCCCACGTGGTCACTTATGGAATCTAAAGAACAAAATAAACTGACAAAACCAAATGATCCAGAAACATGGAAACATCTAACAGACTGAGGAATCTCAGAGGAAAGGGAGAGGGTGGGAAGAGATTAACCAAAGAATTTATACCAATGGACAGACAATAGTGCAATGAAGGCCTGGGGAGAGGGTGGAAGCAGGGAGGAGGGGATCAATGGGGGGTGGGGGGAAAGGGAACATTTGTAATACTTTCAATAATAAAGATAAATTTAAAAAATATAGTATATGAAGCTTAACACAGAAAGGAACTAATAAAAATGAGAATTCTGAATGGAGGTTCCGAGTATGGAGGTAGCGAGCAGGACAGATGGAAGTGAGGGTACGAGTGAGACTCCGAGCAGAATACTTTAAAAATATTTTTATTTTTGATCTAAAGTAATGTATTATCAATTAAAAATAAACATATATTATTAAGAGTAGAGGGTTTTTATAACTAAAAGGGATCTTAAAGATGATCTCATCAGCTCTAATCATTTTACTTGTGGGGGAAATGAAGCTCAGTGGTGTTAAATTTTTCAAGTACTGAGGCAGAAGTACTGGCTTAAAACTCTAGTCTTAAGATC